TTTTGGGGCATGTCCCTTTAAATGCTAATGAGCTCTGCTCACCCGCCCCTTTCTTTTGTGGAAGAGCAAAGGCGATTTGCAAATAATCATAAAAAATATATAAAGTGTCAGACTGACTTCTTCTGGAGGTGCAGCTGGATCACGAACACGGGGTACTGATATATCCTTGAGTTTTAACTTCTTAACAAAGCCTGCCTTGAATTGTCCCTCATTCAGAAAGCAGTCTGGAGCAATTAAGCAATTATTTGCGCAGATAAACTAATTTAGTTGTATTCAGTGGCGCATTACCATTAAAAACAAAACTAATGCACTGCGTCCTCAGTGGCTCTGATGTCGGGAGAAAATTAAGATTCTTATGTTCTTCTACATCACAAAACTACAAAACACCTGCATTGCTTACAAGACATTGTCGCTACAGCTGCTGGAGCGCGGAGAAAATTATGTACTTCGTACAACTGGCTGAGGGCGAAAACGTGCTAATATTGGACAGTACATCAGCGGTTGTGGGCGGGGCCTCATACTGCTCAGAAAATCAAAACGGCTTAATAATTGAGACGGTTTAGGATTTTGGGGGATTAAAAAAAAAGGAGTGAATGGATTTTTTTCATTGTAGGGTGTTTGTGTCCACACACTGCTAAGATTAATTTATATGTAAACATGAAAATTATAAACAGTTGAAAAAATTAGAAAAGTAATCAAAAAGTAATCATCTACATTACTTTTATAAAGTAATTGAAAAGTTACACTACTTATTGCATTTTAAGTAGGGTAACTTGTAATCTGTAACCTATTACATTTCCAAAGTAACCTTCCCAACACTGGTTAAGACAGTGTCAAGAACAAGTCTGACCAACTAGCAGTTAGCCAAGGGGTAATCAGTCTTATTTTTTTTGGATTCAACTTAGAGGAATCTAAGTTTTTATGTAACCGAATGTAAAAAATGTTGACCAGTCTTAAAGAAAAAAATAGATGATTAACTTTTAAGACCAGTCTAAACCTTTTATGCAACCTGCCCCAGATCTCTTCCGCGTCTTATTTCACTTGAATGGTCATATACACACACAATTATGTCAAAAAGCCAGTCGTGTGGAGCATTCACGTAAACACAGTCGGTTATGTGTTAAATAAACAAACATTTGTGTGAAAATCAGATGTGTTTCAGTATATTGGATCCGTGCAGTCGGTCTTAAAGCGACAGCAGCCTAATTTACCTGCTGCTGTCTGTCATTAATGTTAATCAAACAACAAAAGACAGAGAAAATCCCTCACTGCTCTTGACTGAATCACTTTTAGATCTTTAATAAGAATACTTTCATACAGTGAAGACTATGCAGTGTTTTAGTTAAACACTTGATTATTCAATTTTCTTACTACCTGTTAAATAGACCTACTGTATCTGAAAATCGTAAGTATATTCAATATATATTTTTGTTTTATTGTGTTTGTAATTTGCTTCTTTGTTCTTATTTTTAATAACAAATATAATGACTTTGACGCGGCTTTTCATCCATCGGTGTGCTTGTCGGTGATAGCCTGATGTTTTTCAGCCTCAGTCGGGAATAGCAGAACCTGTGGGCTGATATTTTGTACTCGAAAAACTCAAAGGCTTTCTGACAGATGCAACCATATGCAGACAGTTTTGTGGAGGCAGGGAAGGCGATGTATCATGACTACAGACATGAGAATAAATCAACATGACAGCGGGCAAAATGAGACGTTCTATATCTTATTGGAGCATTGTTCAACATTAGTGCCTGAGCTGGATTAGGGAGGGAATAGTCTGATTAAAAAAAGAAAAAAAAGAAAAGAAAACAGCCCAGCCACCATCTGATCAAACCAAACACAACCAGACAATTCATTATTTCAATTAAACAAGCCTCTCCTCTCCCTTCCACCAGACTAGGATGCATATTAACGAGGAACGCTGCTTTCTTAACTGTAGTTCCTGATGCATGTGTAATTTATTCCCTTTCTTTGTTTTTTTCGAGATTTACGTTAACGACTGGAAATCATGGCCATGAGGGAGACAGGTTTGAGCTAATTCATATGGGAGTGAGGTATAAAGCTTATTTGTTAAGCCCTGAACAACTGGCCCTCGAGACTGGCTTCTGTAATGTGTGATGATAATTTCTGCTCTAATGACTAGAACTGCGCACCGTGATGAATGTCATATTTTTTCCTCATTACACAAAATCTGACACTCACAAAGATCATGTTTAGTATCTATAGTTACACAGCACAGTGCGTGTGAAGCTATATAAGGCTATATAATTGTTTACGGTTCTTAGACTTCAAATGACGCATCTGTAAAATCTACATT